AATGCTCTGGGAAGCTTTCAAGAAATGTCACTACCTACTGAAAGTTTTAAGGCCTTATTTTTTTTTTTAAGGCCTACGGACAGTCCTAGTCCTGTAAATGCACTGTAAAATACAACCTAGCAAGCTCCATTCTCCAAGACAATTCAAGAGTTTCCTACGACGCCCGAAGCGGAAAGAGCATGTACTCTGGCCACCCTCGGGGCTGCCGCCTGGCACCCAGGAGGGAGGGCAGCCCATGAGAATGCGAACGCCACCGCGTCAGTTGATGTGACGGATCCGCTGGGCGCATCCCACTGTGATCCGGGGCCCTCCCGGGCCGACGCTGCTGGAAGCGGAACATAACCGCAAACTTCAGAGTCCTCCTATTTCCGTTCTCAAAACAGAATGCCCTGTTTTCTCCTACACCTCATCCCTCAACCCAATACCCCCCGACAGCGGTGCCCCCTTCAAAAAAAACCTTAAGTGGACAGCAAAGCAGAGAGTCTCCGATCAGAGTCAATAGAACGTGTTCGGTCAAAGCGCTCCAACCCCCGACTCCGGTGCAAATCACCCGCCAGCGCCTTCCTGAGCCCCTGCGGCTGGGGGTAAGCAAGCAACAGAAGTGGGCGTCCCAGTCCCCCCCCCCCACTTCCTCCCCGGGGTAAGAGGAGCGGAAAAACGCAAAGAGGAACTAGGTGAACTGCAAGGGTGCCCTGCAAGCTCTCTTCAAGATGGGGTGGGGTGGGGGTGGAAACGACGGAGCGGAAGGAAGGGGAAAGGATGAGCTACAACAAGAAGGGGACGAGAGCGCGCGCCAGAAAAGGGCACGAGTCTTCGCGTACGCGGTGCACCCCAGTCCTCGGAGTAGAGCGGGTGCGCCCGGCCTCTGGATCGCTTCGCCCCGGGCAGAGGGCGAAGGGGGATGAGGAGGCAATGTCCTCCTCCCGGCCAGCCTCGCAGCTCAGGAAGGATCGGTCAGAGCCGCAGTGCCTTCGCCGGGTCGGGAGCGGCGACAACAGCCGCTCGCCCCGTCGAAAGGCGCGGGCTGCGGGGCCCACAGCGCGTTCAGCGGGCGGGCTTTCACGGCCCCACCACCGGGAGAGGCAACCCCGGCGTGACGCCGGCCCGGCCGCGCCAGTTACCTGAAACGGGGCGAATCCTTCAGACACTCCTCGAAATCTACCGTCATCTTCATCTGCCTTTGCCTCCGCCTCGCCTCGGCGGCGGCGCTGGAGGAGCCTAAGGAGCCGCGGGAGTGGCTGCGCTGGGTACCCAGACGGCTACGGCAGGCGCACGGCAGGGACTAGCGCTACGCTGAGGTGAGCAGGGCGCCTGGCCCGAGGGTCATAGCAGCCGCGAAGACCGCGGCCGCAGCGACTGCTAGTCAGGCCCCAGTCCGGCCCCTCTTCCTCCCACCCCCAGCACAGCGCCGGCCTCAGGGAAACGGCCGGGGAGTGACAGCCTCCGCCAGCCAGCCACAAACCCAGCGGCCAATGGGCGGGGCTTCCGGCAGCACCGCCTGCGGGCGCCCAGGCAACGCACCTGAGCGACGATCGCGCGACCCAATGAGCAGAGGGACCGTGAATGCCTTCTAGCCACATGCGTTCCGGAGGGCCAACCCGGATGCACTGGCGTCGTTAGGCGGGACGAAGCGGTTGCTGGGAGGCCAGCAGCTGAGCCTCCTTGGGAAGGAAGTCACGTGTCCGCGCGCCGCGCTTCCCTAGGAGCCCCGCCTCTTTTCCAGCTTCTCCAGCCCCGCCCTGCTGAGCTGCCAACGCGGGGGAGCCGCCTCCTGCAGGTCTGAGCAAGGAGAGTTGCTTTTTAAAGAGCTTTGGGAGAAATCTGAAGAGGTTGGAAGAAATTATAAAAGGAAGATATAGGTTAAGCCATCGATTCCTTTCAGTTTAAAGAAAACGAGGTCAGGAAAGGAGCGAGGGTAAAAGTTAATGATAAAATCCGTCTTTCAGTGATTGGCTTCATTGCTTAATAATTTGGAAATATCTCCCATGTATATATTTTTCTATAGCCAGAGCCTGCTTCCTGAAGGAGCTGGCATTTAGGGTGGGCATGGAAAGATAAGAAGGATTCAGACAGGCATGAGAGGTAGGGCGTTGCGTGTGGAGGAACCGTTCTCGAAACCACAGAAGACGTTCCTCCCTACCGACGCCTTTCTCTCGGTAGCCTTCGCCAGTTCTAAGCTGATAGGGTTCTGAAAAGCAGACTCACTCCAACTTGCAACACTTGCACCATAGATACATTATATTTAAATGTATATATTTTAAACCGAACCTAAAAAGCATAGGCGTATCCATAAACATGCACGCCTAGGGTGTTCTAACAGCGCAGTGGCTCTGAGCAAGAGTCTGGAGGCAAACTCCCTGGATTTACCTCTTCGCTTTCTCACTGTAAAAGGTAACACCACTGATCCAAAAAAATTGCCCTGAGGCTGAAATAGATAAGACCTCTAAAGGTACTAAAGACAGTGCCACATAGTACTCATTCAATAAATGTTGACTCTTACCATAATTGTACCACCTTTTTCTTCGGTGCCATAATCAGTGGTTAGGTTTAAGCCTTCTCACTTCTACTGCCTAAAGTCTTATATAACCCTTTGACCATCTGGCTAACTATAGAGCATGAGGGTTTGTTGCTTTTCATAACCTATGGTTATATCTTGTTCTCTTTAGCACTTTTAGGAATTAACAGTATAATTTTGAGACATTTCAAAGAATACACAAGCTTTATAAATATGTCTTCTTTGGTTATAAACTTGGTTTCTCTTTTTTAATTGAATTGCATATTCCTGGAATCCACACAGCTTCTCTTGATAACTAGAAACTATTGACAGTTAAAGGTTGTGCCCTCAGACACTTTAATCAATCAAGCCAGCCTCTTCTAGATTTGTAACTTCTATTGCAAATTTAGAAATAGAGTTGGCCAATTCTACATTTAATTGCGTTCTTGATGTATAACAATTAATCTGTATATACAATAACTTATTGTTTCAGTGCTTCAACACAGTGTAACCTTTTGGAAGATGCCTAAAGTGACACTTTGGGATTCAAATTAAAATTCAACTGCATGACACTATCAATGCAACTAAGCTAATTACCAAATAAACATTTTTCTGTGGATGGCATTAAATTTACATAAACCCATTTAATGATAGCAATTTCACAATTTTTTTTTCTCTGCCCCATGGTAAAGCAAGATGTCAATGGTAAGATATGTCCTAAATTAAGAAATATTGCCCTGGCCGGTGGCTTATTTGGGTGGGGCATCATCCCATACACCAAAAGATTTTGGGTTCAATTCTGTAAGGGCACATACCCAGGTTGCAGGTTCAATCGCTGGTCAGGGTAAGAACAGGAGGCAACCAATCTCTCTCCCTCTCTCTCTTTCTTTCTCTCTCAAATCAATAAAAATATACCCTCTAGTGAGGATTTTTAAAAAGAAGAAGAAATATTAAAAGTGGGGCAGGGTGGGAATCCCAAAGTGCCGCAGGTCATAAATATAAGTTTCAGAGCCACTCTGCAACTTCTGCCATATATTTCTCTTTTTAAAAATATGTTNGCAGGGTGGGAATCCCAAAGTGCCGCAGGTCATAAATATAAGTTTCAGAGCCACTCTGCAACTTCTGCCATATATTTCTCTTTTAAAAAATATGTTTTTATTGATTTCAGGGAGAGGAAGGGAGAGAGAGAGAGAAACATCAATGATGAGAGTCATTGATAAGCCCCTCACTGGGGATGGACCCCGCAACACCAGCATATTCCCTCACCAGAAATTGAACCATGACCTGGTTCATAGGTCAGTGCTCAACCACTGAGCCACGCTGGCCAGGCGGCTATATATTTCTTTTCTTTTTTTTCTTTTTAATATATCTTTACTGATTTCCAAGAGAGGAAGGGGGGGAGAGAGAGAGAGACGGAGAGAAAGAGAGAGAGAGAAATCAATGATGAGTCACTGTTCAGCTGCCTCCTGCATGCCCCCGACTGGGGATCAAGCCCACAACCTGGGCATGTGCCCTGACCCAAAATCGAACCATAATCTCCTAGATCATAGGTCGATGCTCAACCGCTGAGCCACACCAGCCAGGCTGCTCTGTATTTCTTGATGTATCCTTTTAACCTATGTTCCTGGAGCTTATCCCTTTCATCTGTCTCCCAATCCTCAGATCCCAGGAGGAAATCTGATTAGCCCAACTGATTTCTTCAGGACAAGTCACCCAGTGTTGTGGCAAGCCCCGTAGTGGGGTGGGATCCCTGGAATTAATCATTTGTACAGGAATGGGGGTAGGGATGGGAGCTGCAGACAGCTGACTAGTAGACAAGGTGGTGTCCGTAAAAGAGGATGTTGATGGTTGGGCCCCATAAAACACATCTATTAAACTTTCACATTCATCTAGGACTTTGGCCTCTGACTCACAATCCTCACCCCAACTCCTACCATTAGTTAAGGTGATTTCAACCTTCATTTGTTCTTTCATTCAATAATATCCAGTGAGCATGTACTCTGGCCAGACCCTATAGTAGGTTCGGAGGTTTATGAATGAAATAAACAGCGTTTCCTTTCTAGAGCTTTCAAACCAGAGAGGGAAACATATGATAAGTCCTGGGTGAGGAGTATGCACAGGGAGCTAGTCATACTCTGACAGTCATTTCTCCTGAGGAAGGAAATAGGGTTCTCATATCCCTATAAATATGAGGAATCTTGAAAAGTAAGATCCAACAGAAGGTGAAGAAGGTCTTTCCAAGGACCTTTCATAACAGGGAACTATGTGACTAAAGAGGTAAACAGTGACCAGATACAAAGCGACTTGCCTGCCATGCTAATTAATTTGTATCTTAAGGCAATGGGAAACCATTAGAAGAACTGAGGCCTGGAAGTGATGGGATCTAATTTGAATTTTAAGGATAGTGAAGCAAAGGGGTGGGGCTATCAGGACTGAGACTAAATGCTGTAAGCAACTTTGAAGTTTTCAACCAAGGCGATTTCAATCAAGAGATAGTTAAGAAATACAAATGAAAGAATCTGCTAGCCAACTGAATGTAAGGAAAGAAAAGGAAAAAAGACCCAACTTTAGGGTGACTCCCTGCTTTAGGTTGGGGTGACTGGTGGAAGGTGGTGCCATTCACATAAAGAAAACATTTATCTCTGTGTCTCAAAATATATCTCTTCCATAAGTCCTTAAGTGTCACCCAGAACATTCCATTCGCAAGCTCAACCTTGAATGTTTCACATCTCCAAACCCCCAGGACTTTTTATCTCTCAGGCTATTGATATCTGTCTGTTTTGCCTTCCTCCCCCACTTAAACAACACTCTCTGACATGCCTCCGTACCTCTCCCTAGGTCGTTTCCTGGCAATGCCACATACCCAGCACTGGGTCGACCCAAAGATTTCCTTTATATTCCCCACTCCTAGTTGCTGAGCAATACTAGAGACAGTTCATATCTTAGAGCAGTTGGAGTCATTGGAAAACCTTCAGCAGGGGAGTATGATGTGATCTATTTGTATTTTAAAGGGGGCCGGATAGGTGAGAGTTGAAGGCTTTTAAGTCTGAGGCTCCATATCACTGTATTCAATGATATAAGACCGGGATACTCCGTACTCAGGGTTTTCAACTCTCTTTGTATTATTTATCTGTGGCCAAAGCTCTAGAGCGCTTGGAACAGTGGTTGTTTCCAAACCTTGCCACCCAGCCTCTCATGATCTGTAGATAATTTTGACTCTTTACAAAGAAGATAGGAGGCCTTAGGTAGGAACACTCTTCCTAGCCCCACACACACACTCACCTGTTTCCTTCCTAGCCCAGCGATCTCAGAGGAAAGCAAGCCTCCTCCTTGTTCTCTGGACCTCGCCCCTTTCATTCTCTGAGAATGGCTCTATCAATTTTCCACTCTTTCTAGGCATCTTCAACCTGTGTCTCAAATGACCTTTCTTTTTCTCTTTGAAGAAAAGGAAAAGATGTAACACCAAAGAGGATCATTCTGT